GACATATTCGTGAGCACCAACCCGTACCAAAACAATCCTCACCTATGTGAAAATAAAGACAATAGCCTTTAAAGGTGCTCTAAGAAGAATAGGTCAATTATGTTAAAGGGTAGACGCCTATTGATCTTTATACACTGGCCGAGAATAACAAAAAAACTTTTGTTTGCTCTTTACTAGGGAAATTAATTCTCAAGGCCGTCTTCAGCTATATGTGGTCTTATTTTTTCACACAGAATCCAAAATTGTTCCGTATGCAATATACTCTGTTATGAGGTGTAAAAGAAAACACCTAAATAAATGATCATCAAAACAATCAAATATATAAACAATTAATGATCAATGTATTTAATCACATGATTATTATATTATGTTTCACGAATTATTTATACTAATAGTTTAATTTAATTATTAATTAAAACTACGTATTTATTAAACAAAACTGTGTATCACTTATTTAGTATTTCTTTATATAGTAATTCCTTTTTAATTCTTTTGTTTATATAATTTTTATATAAGTATTTTATACCAAAAAAAGAATTGCTAAATTAAGATTATTTTCGATTTTTATTTTTTATTAGAAAATATTTTGTAGATATTGAATTTAGTTATTTTTTTTAAAAATTTTTGGAGTTTCGTTGAGATTTTTTTGTTTTTTACAAGTTAAAGTTTATTATAAAAAGTATATAAAGAGTTAAAATTCCTAGAGACAGAAAAAAAAATAAAAAAATGGCAATAAATGAGTTTAGACATAATCAAGCTACTACTTATCACTGTATTCCTTGTAAAGAAAAATTTAAATGTAAAAAAATACTATCTAAAGAAGATAAAAAGAAACGTGAAGAAGAATATAAAAAAAATGGTGTTCCAATTTGTACTTTATGTCAACAAAACATTGGCATTGTTCTGATAATAAATGTACAAATTGTTGCAATTTAAACAAATGTAATGATATTGTATGTTGTTATTGCAAAGAAAAAAATATCAAATGTCAACGTGTTTTACCAAAAACACAAGAAGAATATGAAAAGATTAAGGATAAAGTTTCTTATATTGTTTGGAAATTTGAACCAACTGAGAATGAAAAGTTACATGCTCAAATGTATTTACAATTTCATTCTACTAAGAGACAAACTCTTAAAAGTGCTAAAGAAATATTTAAAGAGGATAAATCATTAATATTTCAAGAAAAATTAGGTGGTACTTCTATTCAAAATAGAGATTATTTATTAAAAACTTATGATCGGTGTAAGAAACATTTAAATTGTCGATGTGATTTTTTCGATATAAATGTGATAAATATGATTCAACTTGTGAACGAAAAATTGCAGCTTGGGGAAGAGGTACTTTACCAAAAGAAGTTGTTGGTCCATTCGAATTTGGAGAATTCAGAGAAATTGAAAAAAGTTTTACCAAAGCTTATAGAGAAAAAAAAGATATAAAAGAACTAAAGCTTGAAGAACATCAAGGAGGTTTAGATAGTAACAAAATGTTAGAAGAAGAAAAAACACCACTTGAAATATTTAGAGAAAATAAAAATAAAATTCTATATTGTAAAAGTTATGAGACAATGATAAAAATTTATAATGATTTACAAAAAGAAAAACAAAAAGAAAAGGGTGATTTTGGCGTCCTGTAACTTTTTATCTTTATGGTTGTGGAGGCAGCGGAAAATCAGGACTTGTAACTAAATTATTTAGAGATCAGTTATATGCTGATAAACCAAAAAAACAATGAAACAATTGGTATTGTATATAAATTAATTTTTGTTATTCTGTCCCTTCCAAATTATTTGGCTTAAACAATTATTTGTGTATTATTATTTTTGAATTATGCTATATTTATCATTATATAAGGTGGAATAGTTATTTGGGGCAAAAAATTGGTTTATTAGATGAGTTTTATATGAAAATCAATTGGGGTGATACAGTGAATCTTTTTAATGACACACCATATTATATAGAATTAAAACACAAGGGTTTTAAGCCTTTTTTGG